GCATCCTCAACTTCACTGGCCAGCAAAATGGATCTACTTGCAGTGGCACGAAAGAAGCTGCACCTTAGCAGTAATTAGTTTTTAAGCTTTCACATGTTCTTTCTATTTATTGGGTTCGCTTAGTATCAACCAGCTTGCACTCACATGCCTGAGGTTGCCTATGCTTTTTTTGCCCACTCGCATCCAACATCATCCAACTACTAAGGAGTGAAGAGCACCGCTCACGCTTTCGATTGAAACCTCAACAGGGCAGATATTTGGATGGGTGGGGATATGAGATGCTTCGCAAGACAGGACAGGGATGTTTCAAACATTTTAATGGGGTTGGATGTTTCACACTAATGGGGGGAGCATGGTAATGAATCCCTGAGATATGCTGAGCTTCTTCGCAAAGATGCACCCTATCTATTTGCAATCAGATTGCAGTGGTTGCGAGGAGGCATACTATTCTCTGACTCAGCTGAGTGCCAAGTGCCAGTTGATTTCTTCGATTCTTGTCTTGAACTGGCTGGCAGTGTTTCATGTGTTTCACACATGTTTGTTCTTCAAGTTTGCTGTCCACTGGCTGTCCATTTGGTTCAAAGGTGCGACCACGCGATTGGCCCACTCAAATTTATTCTCTTGAATTTGAGTCCTCGAGTGACACTTTGGCTTAATGTGATCAATAATTTTTGTTTGGTTCTGCTGATTTTAGTTAAGCTTTTTTGAAATTCAATTCGCAACTTTGCATTTGGAGTCCAGAATCAGAAAGGATCTTTACTTCGATGGAAGACAGAGACACAACTCAAGTTCAGGGTCATGCCAATGCATATGCGTGTGGATTTCCATGCCAGCCGTTCCTTGTTCAGATTCAGTATCTTCCAGTGTCTTATTGTATTGTATTGCTTTCAAACCCAGCCGACTACCACGTGATCTTTTAAATCCTCCAAGCACCATCCCTTCTTGACTGAGGTATAGTATGTTGCATCATGGCAGCCGCTACTTCCAAGAAGCTGAAGCGCGAACTTTCTATCGCTGCCTGGCACAGATTGCAAGAGGGCGCCCCCTCATCAGCTTACTTGAGAATGTGCTGGGAATGTTGAGAGTGTGGAAGCAGGCAGGGTCTTCAAACATGTTCTTTTAAACTGTTTAAGGGCAAACAATTAGGTCAAACAAAAAAAATGATTGGTCCAGTTCAACATCATCGTTTTGAGCAATCTTTTCTCTGGAACAGGCTGACAAAGCTTTTTGCCGCTTGACACAATATGGGTACCTCTATGGCAAAGTCACTTGCCCAAACATGGCCTAATTTTTGTTTAACCCCCAAAGCTGCAGAACAAAGAGCACATTGATGTGGTTCTATGGCCAAACTATATCCAACCAGATTTGAGGTTATAGTGGATCCCTTGGAGCTTGGGGGGTCTGCCAAAAGACGTCGAATATACATACTGGTCATCGCTCGCAAGATTCTGCGCCCTGAGATTGACACCAATGACAAATTAGAAGCAGTCTTGAAGCAAACCATAAGTCAACTGAAAGTGGAGGGTCCACCACCAAATGCGTTTCTTGGCAAATTAAAAGAAAGGAGAAGGGGGAATGGTGTGGAAAGTTTTCATTCTTTACTCTTATCAAAGTTGTGGAAATCTTTGGTGCCTGGCACATCTCAGGCAGCACCTGATGTTCCCACATGATCATGAGATGGTGGAACTGGACATGGCAACCAGGAGGTCGAAGAACAAAACTGGGCAAGACATTGATCTTACCCAAAGGTGCCTTGACTTGCCAATGGAACAACTTGACTCTATTTATTTGGCATTATGTTTTGCATTTATTTTAAGAATGCATCCTAAAGTATCCTAAAGCTTAGAGTCATTCAAGACAACCGAGGCCTGTGAATGCACGACCTCGCTGGCCAAAGAAACATTGGGATTTTATGCAATCAAAGAAGGCCCGGTGGTTGTTCAAATATTGGAAGGCTATATCTGAATCTAGGATTGTATCTTAATAACTTTATTACTTCTCCCTCTCAATATCATTAAAACAGGTGGAGCCCATATTTCATGACATTCAGCTGCCCTGAATCAGGTGGATCCAACTCGTGTTGCGCAGTGCCTCCAAAAGGACAACTTTGAGCACATATCCAATGCCAGGCAACGACATGCAACTTGGCAATGGGTTTTGGTTTGTGAACCTTAGTTTGCACTTGGCCTTTGCATTTGACCAACACCCAGCAAAGGCACTGGCAATCTACAAAGTGATGGGGGCATCTGGTTTCCTGAACCTTTCTCAAAGTGTGGAACGAATGGGCTTGTCAACGCATATGCCATGTGTTACACCACGTGGTGAATTCTACCACTTGGGTGAGGACCGCTACATTCTAGGCCTGGTGTTTGAACAGTTTCCTCAACAATGTTTTTTTAAAGATCCTACCTGGCCTTTGCAAACCTGGGCCCTGAAGATGTTGAAAAGCTCCTCTTTCAGAGCTTTCCATTGAAGAGCCTCAATTTGGGACCACTCTCAAAACGAGACTCTTGGCTAACAATGGAAACTTGGGAAATTCTATGGTAGTAGTTTGGACACACCTCCACTGCCACCCAGCTGCTTGGTTGTAGAGATGGCATTGGTTGCTGGCAACTATTTGGCAATCTCCTGGCAGTGGAGATATGATAGGCAAGCTGAATGTGAAAGCTACATGAAATAAGTTAAAACTTATTGTATCTTACTGTCTAAACTCAATGCTTTATTTTATTGCTGGAGCTCACTGGGTACAATAGCCAAAGTGTTGTCCATGGGAGCCCAAGTGTACCACATGCCACAATTCAGAAACCTTCATAGGCTTCGGGATGCTGTCAGCATCCACGTTAACTTTCCATTCAACTTGGCAGTTCAAATGGGAGCTTCTGGTGACCCTTGACTGTTCTGCTGGGCCCTCATGTCCCGAAGATTGTCAGAAAGCTCATGCAATGTTTTTGAATGTTTTTTGAACCCTTATCTTGCAAAGGGTGGTGCTTTGGTGGAACAACATCTAAAGATGTAAACCCCTCCCTCTCTATGCAAAGGGTGGTATGGATCTGTTGCCTACTGGTACTTTGGTGGAACAAAATCTAAAGATCTTGCATGAACCCCTGGGATGTGAATATTAAGATGCAATCCCATGGCTAAATCCCTACATGGGTTATAAGCCCTTGATTTAATTTGTGGAAAGAGGTCATGAACATAGAAAATTATGGAATTGTGATTGCTTTCAAACCATCAAATCGTGTTAACATCATAATTATACCTTCATGATTTGTTTTGCAACACCATTTAGTTGCAACCTCAGTTACCCAATCAACTTTTGTGGCCTTAGGAGTTGGAGGACTTGGCAGGAAATGCCATGAATGTCAAAGCTGCGGCAGCGGCCTGGATAGCAGGATTCGCCGCTGTCAACTTCAATGCCTGGAATGACTGCGCTAAAACCCTTGAAGACAAGGTCCCATTGCCATTCATGCGGCAAGGATGGTGAGCTTCGCATGGGAAAATGGGATTCATTGGTGGCCTAGATTGGGAGGGGTTTAGATGTTCAAAAAAGAAACAAACCATTGGTCACAAACTGCCAGGCTGCATTTTTGCTCTAATCAGTGGCACTCACTGGTTCTCAATGATGGCAGTTGCCCAACCACCTTGTGTATTTCTTGAAAAAAAGTCATCATGGCCCCCCCCCAAAAAAGTCTAAAACCAAGGGCTAGTTTCACATTCTGTTCAATTTTCACTTTCTGTTGGAAACACTCGTTCCAAACCCAAACCGAAACCTTTTGACATCTATTTTGACAACTTCACCCATGGCACTGCAGCGGTTCAGTGCCTCATCGTCCAGTTATGGTGGCAGCTCTGCAAGCAGCACTGGCTCTGCCTCTGCGAGTGAGGATGATGAGCCCCCAGCAAAAAAGGCAAAGGGACTTGAGGGCCCTGATTCAATGAGGAATTTGTCCTGGAATCAGCTACAATCTATGGATGCAGAGGAACCAGGCATCTTATCCAACCTATGTTCATCGGGTATGTTGTGTGCTGTTTTTCATTGGGATATTGCTGTAATATTTATTTGTCTTGGTTCTTGTTGGAAAAAGAATACTCTCAAACTCAGGTACTGTGTTGAACTCTTACCAGCAGAATGGAAAATCGGCAGAACGTGTTGCACTAGCTCTGAAACGACCCTGCTGCAAAAAGAAGTGCAAAGCCCAGCTTTCATTGAAAACAGTTCTGGGCTTGGTTATTGCATTCTGGTCATTGACAAAAGGAGCGCAGGATTCTTTGCCACTTGGCAATGTTTGATCCTGGGCCTTTTTTGTGGGATGCTGTCATGTTTAAATTTCTGTAAAACATGGACAACAACTTCTTAAGGCTATGGAGCCTACAGAACCCTGCCATGCAATTCGGTGAAGAAAGTGATGGTGAATCAGAAAACTCTGGGACAGATTCCAATTCCTCTTCTCCTTCTTCGAAATGCAGCAATGACAGCAGTTCATCAATTGGAAAGAAGTCCACCTGGTTCCTTCAAGGTCACTGATGCTGTCAAATTTGGCATATTTTTTTGCAATTTTCAAGGCTTTAAGCAAGTGCCAGAATATCCTCAATCCCACCCGGTTTGGCCTGAGGTATCCAAGTATGCCGGCAGGCATGGCTTCAAATCCTTGGCATTGGCAGGGATCGTCTCCCAAGGTGCAAACGAAACTTTCGAGGAACCGATGGCAGGAGCATTGGAATCTTGAATCAGGTTCCAGTAACCATGTTTCTTTGAATAGTTGGTTTTCATACTATACTGACTTTGTTTGTTTGAATAAATACCAAGGACACCAAGTGCACAGTGCACCTGCTGCAGCATCTGTGCTGGCCTTCTTACAGAAGACCTACTTTGGCATAGCTGAAACTTTGCCCCATGAGTGAGGACCCTAGCTAAATTGAACTTTGTCCAATGGGTGAAAGTAATTCAGTCTGAATCACTAACTAGGGGTTGATTATTTGAAATTTGATTGCAATCAAGGATGCATTTCAACCCCAAAGAAAGATGGGCTTCTACAGAAGAAGGGCGCAAAAAGCTAGTTGAATGCTTGATGACAAACTCTTTCGAGATGGATGCTGGTATTGGAAACCACAACCCTGAAGTTCTACCACGACGATATTTGCCACCAGGCACCTATTCAGACCTTTACAGGCTGTATCAGGCAGAATGCTTTGCAAAAGACCAGCCTACTGCCTCGGCATCAACTTTTTTCCGGACATTGAGAATTTCTGGCTGGCGAAAGAAGATAAAATTCAGAGGGCAATCTACACATGCCCAATGCTGGGTTTGCCACAAGTTGAAGTCAGCGATTCGCAATTCTAGAGACATCAACATGCACGCTCAGTCTTGTGATCAATACATGCGTCACCTAAGTGGTATATTTGCTGACAGGCAGGTATATGGTCAAACAAAATGGCGTGCAAAAACTCAAAAAGATATTTTGTGTTGCATCGTGGACTCCATGGATAAGAGTAAGTTCCGTCTACCACGATTTGCAGCAGGAAGAACCCCGAAGACACTCGAGACAAAGAAACGCCCTGAGCTGGAATTCACAACATGCATAATGCATGGACACTCTATCAATGTGTTTGTGACAGACTCAGAACAATCAACTGGCTCAGACTGGAGCTTGGAGGTCCTTGCTCTGAGTTTGGATAAAACTTTTGCAAAATGCCAACGGAATCAAGAAGCCTGGCCAAACCACCTGAGAATATTTACAGACAACACACCAAAAGATGCTTGGCAAATCAAGCACTGAAATTGTTCAAGCCCCCAAGTGAAATAACAATATCAAATGTGTTAATATCATCTATTATTTGTTTCATTTTCTTTCTGTCTATGTTCAAAACCCAAGGAATATCGAAATGCGTTCCTGGGCCGCTTTTGCTGCCATCTTGTGGCAACACGCCAATTTGCCACATTGGCACATGAAAGTTTGCCAGTTGGACACACTCACGAAGACATTGGTCTGAAACTCAGGTACACCCGACACTGGTCAATCATATCCTGTCCAACCAAAGTACAGAGTCACATGTTCCCTGACATGTCCCAAAAGCTAAGATGGCTTTTTTGGACTGATATCGAAGCTTATTCGACAAGCTGACGAAACAATGTAGCCCAGTTACATTATGTGTTTGTGTCAGTATGCAAGAAGTTGTGTGATCATTTTCAATCAATGTTAAAATCAGTTAACTGATCTGTCTTGTTACCTTAGGCAAAACCCAGCTGACATTGTTTCGCATCCAGCTTAGTTGTGCCAAGTTTCACTGACAGTGGTGGTCATGCATGCCAGTCTCCACAAGTCCCAGTGTAGTTGCCAATCTCCAATAGTCAGTGGCACCCCTCCTTGGCGCTCTGGCTCAGGTGGCTGAGGCAAAGATTGACTGACAGCTTTGCCAAGTCTGGCATTGAATTCAACGTGACCTATCTGACATCTGTCAGGAACTGGACTGATTCATTGGCTGCCCTATCCACCCTTTCTGGTGCCTATCGTCGAAGAAAGCTGAATACAGATGTCAAAGAGATTCCTCACTCTTTTGTGTTTGCAAGACGAGAATGTATCTCGGCTTTTTGATTGTCAAGGGTCAGCAACAGATTTTGTTCTTAGTTGCCCATGAATGTTCATGATTTTCTGTATTGAAAACTTGAAGCTGGGAAGGTATGCCCCAACACCTATTGGCAAGAACTTCAAATCGATTGCCTCCACGGTTTGGTGGGGAGAGCCCCAATGACGTCTTCTTGATGATCAAAGCATTTGTATCCGATGTAACCCTCTCCCAAGAGCCCTTGGTGGTATGGCCTGGAAGGCACATGGATACTACTATGGCTGCCATTCGTCGAATAGCATCCAACCAAGTGCCAGGACAGGGTTGATGTCCCCAATCCCCAAATCTTTGTGTTGAATAATTTACAACACTAAGTGTTTACAATATAGAAACATGTCCTTCAGCCAGGTGTGGCTGTCTACCTGAATGATGAACGCAAAGAGGTATTAATCGAGATGGCAGATTACCTCGAGGCTAACTATACCAACTATGCCCGTGGAATTGAATACCTTCGGAAGTTGGCTGGACAAATTGCCATGCGTCGGATCCCTCCAAAAAGGATTGAATTCCTTTTGCTGAACATGGCTGGAATTCAAAGGGGTGCTGTGATCCTGGGAAACCCTGAGATTCACACCATCCACACCATGCGGGTGACCTTCCACCGCTTCCATTGACAAAGTTCCCAGCTGAAAAGGAATCCCTTGAACAGGTTTCAGACCCAATGCAGCTTCAATGTTAATCTTGTGATATTTAGATATTACAGCAATGCCAACTCCCACCACCAAAATCCCAGAGCCATCGGTCTCAAGTTGGTCAGTCCACCTTTCACTGCGCTGCACTTGGTGATGCAAGAAGTAAAGCAAGAAGTGCCTGGCAATGCAGCTTTGAAGGTGGCTTTGGCCCCTAATGGTTGGGTGAATTTTGAAACTGGTTTCCCCAAATGGTATAGGAAGCAAAAAACCTCTTTGGGGTTCCAAGGGTTAGCCACATCATTTTCAATTTGAAGGCAACTCCAGCCACCTCTGAGAAAGAGAAGGAGTACTCCCTCAAGGCAGCACTAACTGCGAGGATGGAAGAGGTTGGGAAACCATCATACATGGACCATACAAACATATGACAGGCATCAACATGTTTACATTATGTTGATTATAGTATTTGTTTTTTAGTCAGCAGGATGGTTGCATCCATGTCCCTTGCCCTGCAGATCACTGCCGTCATGAATATGGGTGAGTATCTCTGCGAAAAGTTTGACAGGGAGAAGAACCCGTCTTGCTTTCGAAGGGCCCCTTGCTTAATGTATAATCCAATCACATGGAGTTGGGATGACTGACTTAATTATGTCCCTGAAGTAAGGCTATGGATCAAATCTTCGAGTGGTCCTCTGTCAAGAAACATGTGGAGATCCAGCAGCCTATCGAAAACATCCCGGCAACTTCTATGAAGGGATTCCACCTGGACCTTTGGAAGCTATCGTTCTATGAGAATGCAAAGTATGGTGAGACTGGCCGGTTTCCTGCCACCCATTCCTTGAAAGCCCACTTTGGGTCTTTTCTTGAGAATGGATTCGAAAGCCACCGTGAATGCTTAGAGGTCAAGTTTCGGTTGAGCAAGGAGGAAACTGAACAATCGATTTACAAGGTGAATGACTTCAGCGTGGGGTATGTGGATGGCCAGAACAAGGCAATAATCATGCTGAGCATCATGGCCCTCCTGATTGACTTGGATCCATACAATCAGTATGAGAACAATCATCAATATGAAAACAATGATAAATATAATCAAGTCATGGTTCTGAACAAAGTTTCTTGTGAACTTATTGTCATTGTTGTGCAATGTTCTGTGTCAATCAAGGGGGTCAAAGAAGATGAGATGATGGAGGATAAAGCTTTGTCAAAAGCTGTTGCCTCTTTCCGGTATGTGAAGTGCAACTATGGCAGACATGAAACGGCTGAAGGGTTTCTCTATGAGACACTTAGCCAGGGCCTTGGCATTGCACATCATTACATCAAGATCCAACAGACTATTGTATCAATATGTATCAATCACCGACCCTTGCTGGTTCTTTCCCCCCTGCCAGTTGTTCTCCCAGGCCTTGCAAACCGCACTGCTGAGAAGACCAAGCCATCAGCCTTGGATATGCTGCTGGTGTTCAAGGAGTCGATTCGGATCAAACAGTCTAGCACAGCTACAAAGAAGGGGGCCCTCCGAGATCTTTTGTTTGCATCGGTTGCAGACTACAACAAGACAGTGAACAATCACCGTGCACCTTGCCTAACATTGTTTAGTCTTGTGTCTATTTTAAAGTGGTATATTTATGGAATCTTTCATGGTCCTAAGTCCAAAGCCCAAAGTAAGGCTTGGCGTGTGGGTGACAGTACCCGAAAGCTCATCTACAACTTGCTGCGTTCACCAAAGGGCTTGTTGGATGCATTGAAGGCATGCTACAATGAGTCCAAACCAGAGCATGCAGGCTGGGTCTTTTTCAGCAACATTTAATTGTAATGTCTTTCATAAATTGTAAACATTTTGAAAGTAAACTATGGGTTGAACCAAACCTGTGACCAAATATCTTTGTCTCAACTCTGCCCTGCAGCTTTGACCATGGAGAACTTGGAAGGGGATTTCTTCGTTCCAGGAACAGAGCTCTTGGACAATGCCCCACCGATCTGGAAAGAGATAGAGGCCAGTGGTAAACTTAGCCTTACCTGGGGTGCTGATATCATGTTGAAGTTTCTGCCCCATAGAAAACTGGTATCATAATAAATCCCTGCTGCCAGACAGTGACCGAAGAAGCAGTTGAGCTTTGGGCAGACCGAGCTATGTCTGACTTCAACCGGAAGGTCACCAAGAATGCACCAGCCAAGCAAAAGGCATGGGTTCTGAAAATCTAAGTTTGAAAATGGTGGACACCACAACAGTGTTCAAAATTGATTCCAGCCCCTGGCAGAAAATGGCTCAACGGGATCAAAATGGTATGATTGACCTGCTCCAGATTTGCTGCTTGATGTGCTACGTGTGGCCCAAACTGGCAGCATATCTGGGTGCAGGCAAGCTGCTGAGCAATGTGATGGAGCAGTGGAAGCTGGGGAACCTTGGCTAAATGGATCAAAACCATGCATTTTTGGGAGCCAAAATTTTACCCTGGAAAGTGATGTGGAATTTAAATTCCGCAGTACAAACTCGTGGTTCCTGAAAAAAGAGTGATTTTTCAATTTTGGATTTTGGGCACCAAAAATCATGTCTATCTCCACAAACTGGGTTTTGTGCTGTGGAATTTAAATTCCGCATGAAAACTTGAGCTGGAAATCCCAGATTGGAAAAAACATGTTTTCCATTGGATTCCCAATTTATAGAGGTGCTGGCCCTCCATTAGCCCCAGAATATCCCAAAATATTATTCCAGAAATTGAAATGCCATCCACTAGCCAATGAGTGATGTGGTTTTTAAAAACCGCAACACTCCATGATGTGGTTTTAAAAAACCACGTCACTCCACAAGGGTTGAAAAAACAAACCACGTCACTCCTACTGTTTTGTTGGGGCAAACCACGTCACTCCTACAAATCTTTGGGGCAAACCACACCACTCCTACAAATCTTTGGGGCAAACCACGTCACTCCTACAAATCTTTGGGGCAAACCACGTCACTCCTACAAATCGTTGGGGCAAACCAGGTTACTCCTACAAATCTTTGGGGCAAACCAGGTTACTCCTACAAATCTTTGGGGCAAATCAGGTTACTTCTATGATTCTTTGGGGCAAATCCTAACCCAATCTCAGAATCCTTTGGATATGCTTCAAATACCCCAAGGATTTTAGGACAATTTAACAATGTTTTTGACATAAATCCACAATTATGATACTTGGGTTGTTTTTGTTGCTTCACTGTGGCAATCTACATTATCCCCCACTAGTGTTGGATTGTTGGGCAATCCTTTTGGTAACATGGTGAAATTATCCCACCAATTTCATGGAACAACACCCAGCGGTTGGTTAATCAAAGTGCTAAAGCTGTCTGCAGAAAGCTTCAACACTTTGATTCGGAAATGGTGTGTGTGTGTTTATGGGTTACCTTACCATGTGATGAAGCATATTATCCATCATACTCCCCAATATCCAATGATATTCTATGACATTTTACTTATTATCTTTATTAAATCATCGATATCAGATTCAGGTCCTACCAATCCCCAAGTTAAAACCTCAATCTCAATTTCACTGGGTGGTCTCGCAGCGGGTTCCAAATCTCTGTGCCAAGTCCCTCCAATCCAAGGGCCTTGGATACCGAGCTGCGTGTCCAAGTGAGCTTGGGTTCATTTTAGCAAGCTTTGTTTGATACAAAGAGGATTTCCCATCATACAATGGATGATTGTCTATGTCTATCTTACAAGGGGTCCAGTTTCAAAAGTATCACAAATGATTGTCGAGGAAGGGCCTCGATCCTGAATTTGAGTTCAAGAAGCTGGGATTTGTGCAGGAGGCATGTGGAAAACAGCAAGAGGAACATGTGGTCAATGCCCAGTCAACTGTCAACAATGCCAGAAAGAACAGTTTGGCTGCAGCATTCAACTTGTTTGCCACCAACCTGACGAACGACCAATGTTTGCAAGACAAGTTTCTGGCAATGGCTGAGATGACCAATTCTCGAGCGCGCTCTGTCCTCATCCACGGCTTAGAGGCTTTTGGGTGTGATGGCCCTCATCAAGAAATATGGGGATATCTTGGGTTAAACCTAGTGTATGTTTTTGAACCACCAAAATATTTAATCATTATTAGGGAATATGAGGGATAATATGGGTCAACCTAATTGGGAAAAGCCCCCCAAAAAATCTGACTCTTAGGAACACATGGTTCGACTAACTATGATATCTTAGTGTTGAACTATGATTCCTACTGTTGGAATATAAATTGTTGTAATCATTAATCCCATCCAATCTAACATTATAAAGATTAAACAGTGCCTAAATGGTTCCCATTATATAATTTGGAATTTTCATAAAAAAGAGGCTACATTATATCCCCATTATATTCAATATCCCTTAGTTAGTCCCAATTATATAATATGTAATTTCAACCTTAAACCATGAACCTCATCCCATTAATATTAAGCACCACTAAATACTCCCAATTATATAATATGGAAGTTCCATACTAAACCATGTTGGTAATCCCCTGATACTAAATACCACTAAATAGTCCCAATTATTAATACCAATTATATGCAATTATATGATATGAAAGTTCCATATTAAACCATTAATCTCATCATATCCCCCTAATGTTAAACACAACCTCAATAGTCCCAATTATATGATATTGAATTCATACTAAACCATGGTTTAGTGGGTGTTTGATATTAGGGGGATGAAATTATTATTATATTATATTATATTATAGTCATACCTTCCTAACCATTGTATTCCTTTCCCAACCCTGCCAGAAAATGCATCATTGTGTTCCTTTCCCAACCCTGCCAGAAAATGCATCATACTGCATGGCGACTGGTCAATGACTTCGTTGGTGAAACGGTTCCATCGTGGGATGTATCATTGCCCAAGACAGTGCAAGGACTAGCCATTTTTTTTGTTTGGAAATGTTTGGTCCCTTTTTTCTCAGCGTTAATTTCTGAAAACTTCTTTTTGTAAGCATATCCCTGAAGGAGTTGAAGCTGAGGGTGAAGGCTCGAGCTTTGCAGCTAAAAATGAACCGTGGCTCCAAAGCACACTTACAGCGTTTGGGCAGGGCATCCGTCGCCAAGAATGTGAACGTGTGATTGCGTGGGTCAACTATGCCTGCTGTGGTGTTGTCCCTGCAAAGAAGATCCAATTCACAGTGGAACAGGTCACCCAGGTCTTGCACTCTTTCCCCAAGAATGCTGCTGCCATCATTCTGTTGCCAAACCGGGCTGGGGATTTGAGAAGCTCTCCAAAGTTGCTTGATGGTAGGACTTTGCACAACTGTGTTTTGTTTTTTGTTTGTTCATCCCCCCAAACATGGATGTTTGTTTCTCACCGGGTATTCACATGACCCCCCAAAACAACTTTAAACCAAACTTGCTTAGACTTCAGGTTTGTTTTTTTTACTGGTTCGTGCAACTGGGTAAGGAAGGATGAAAAGGATGAGCCCATGAATGATGAAGATGCAGCTGATGATGAGCATGGTCAGGTGAAGAAACAAGAAGAAGGACTGTCATGAACTTTTTTCCCTGTGATGAGTCACCATGGGTTTGGAAAAGGACCATTTTTTTATTATCAAATGTTTCCCAGTCTGTAAGAGAACAATTACAGGAAGCGAAGCTGAGGGCGAGGGTGATGAGGATCCAGCTGCCCACACTTCGGCTGATGCAATCTTGCGGGACTTCAGATACAGGCTTCAGTGTGCCTTCATGGAGCCAAGCCGTGACCTGAAGGCCTGGGGGGGGTGTTCAGCCCTTTGTTGGGATACTGCATGATACTGCTATGTTTCATTGTTCATTTTGGGTTTTTGATTCCATGAAAATTTGATGACATTACTTGAAGCCTCCTATTCCAGGTTCGCCCGCTGTCCATCTTCTTTGAACCTTCAACGGTTTATGGCACTCGAGAAGGATACCACTCGGCCCTCATGATCACTTCGCAGGACCGTCACAACCACTTTTTGAAGAGCCAAGTCTACAAGTCAGGTGTTGTTCACAATGTGAGCATGCTGCCAAGGTTTCTCACTTAAACTTGGAAATAATTTTAATAAAATTTCCAAATTTGTTTTGATTCAAGCTGGGGAGTTTGCTTTGTTTGATGTATGGTTAACATAAAATTTCAGGGTAACATCAGCAGCATTTCAGGCAAGAAATGCTGAAAGCCGAGAAGAGCAATTCCAAGTTTGCAACGGACTCACGACTGACAAGGGTGCAGGAGCTGAAGCAGGCAAGTTTGACAAAACAAGTTTGGCCAAGCACCTAGTGTTGAGAATTCTTTCATTGTATTAATCATTTTGAATTACAGGTGGTTTAAACCTCTCAGTTTTGGGTTTGCAAGTGACACTCTGGTTTGCCTTCCCTCAGCACCTTGGTGGACTGAGCTTGGTCGATAAAGTGACCTCGGCAATCCTCAGCACTGGGGATGGGGAGACCAACAATGTGCTGTTGGACTTGTGTGGGTTTGATGGCTGGCCAGCATCATTTGCAATGACACAGGTGGCCTCAGGACATTTTTGGGTTGGTGTGTTTGTTGCAAAGCATTGCAGTGGGTTATAGTGTTGGGTTTGTTTTGGATGTTTTTTGTATACTGGTGAACTTTGCTCATGGTTCAGAGCATGAAACTGTGCTTCTATGACAAGTAAATGGTTGTTCCATGTTGCCCTAATGTTTCTAGATGTTGCAGGATTCTAGTTGATAGTTTCTGTTTTTGGGGGGGTTTTCAACCTTCTAGGATACAAGTGGGCATGTGCTACTGCTTGTCACAGTCCAAGCGATGCTGCCTTCTGTACCTCTGTGGTGTCGCAGAAGGCATACTCTTTGGCGAGATCTGGAACACTGAAGCTCCCTGGATTTCCCTGCTTCGAAACCATGGTGGCTGACTTGAAGAAAAATGCTCATGATGTTCCAGTCCCTACGTTTGAAGTTTGTGTGCCTGTTCCAAATGGACTGGCTGTCAAACAAAATCTTGTTGACTACTGGGGTGGCATTGAAAGCTACCAGTTGGAGGTGGGCGAGCTGGTCAAAAAGCACAATGCAAAGTACAACCCACATGGGATCAAGCGGGGTGCTGCAGAGATCTCCAGGTCTGAAGCTGATGGTGGCTTGGCACCTTACTGCCTGCTGTTGTAGAAAAAGGTGGTAATAAACAGGTGCAGTACATTGCAGTACATTACACTGTAAATTTGTGGATGTTCCTTTTTGTATGTTTTTGACATCAAGGAGATGAAGCGGCTGATGATTGCAAAAAGATTCGCCTTCAAACTACAATGAAGCTGGCTGAGCATGAGCCAACCATTCAAGACAAGCCCCTTTCTTTGATTTTCTGAAAATTTGATTTGCCAAAGTTGTTAATATGTTCTTCAGCATGTTTAGTAGGTTCACCACCCTGTGGTCTTTGGCTGTCCCTGAGGCTTTGTCTTACTTGCGGAACTTGCCGGCTGATTTATGATGTCAAAGAAGATGCCCTGTGGATTGCAGGGACAGAGAACAAGAAGCGTGATGTCTTTGAAGTCCAGGCACCATTGGAGCTCTTTGGCTTCGGGTCAGGGGACTATGTGGAGGGGCCAGAGGCAGCAGATGTTCAATCTGATGTCTCTGGTCGCTGGATCAGCTTCAAGGTTGGGGAGTCGAGTGAATTGTGTGTGCTCGAAGCTGACAAGCGGCTACCCCAGCATATTCGATCGCTGGATATCTTTGGCAAGGTTGCTTGTTGTGGTACACTTTGAATTTTTTGAACTACTGATGTTTTGTTTTTCCAAGGCTCTGTTTCTTTTTTTTGAGTTTGTTGACTTTCAGTTGGTTTCATTTAAAATATCCCAAGTATATTATATAAGTTCCAGTTTGGAAGACAATTAGATAGTAGCTATACTTGCTTTTCGAAAAGGACAGTTCCAACTTCCATTGCAAAACCTTGCAGGTTCTCAGCTACAAGGATGCCATCAAGGATCTTGAAAATGCTGGCGAAATCAATGTGAAGATCTCCATGCATACCATCGAAAAAACAGAAGGCTCGAATGACTTTTGCTTCAAGGCACAGAAGAAGGTGTGCTTCGTGCTGGACCAGCCCAAGGAAAGCAAAAAGAAGAAGGCACATTGAAACCAATCCTTCCCCCTGTGTTGGACAAAACTAGAAACTAGACAAAGAATGACAAAGATTAAAATCATATCACTTGAAGACCCTTTGCAGGCCAACTCATCTGCTACAACGTTTGGGTCGAAGATTGTGCTGACCAAGCTTCGCACATGCCAGAACTTGAAGATTTGCTGGCGTTTGAGGCATGGTGGCAAACCAACACCACATTGAGTAAAACTACATTCACCTTGATTGTAATTGTATACCCACATTGATGCGATAGGGAGTTGTAGCTTTCACTTCTAGAAAACTTACCCCCCAAAAACATCCAATCCATCCATATGCAATGCCAGGCTTCAGCCGGACCAAGCTGGAACGGGCAAAGACCTCGTCCCAATCCGTCCTGTGGCAATGTTAACACAGGGCTTGGAGGGCAAGATGGACGAAATGTATCAACTGTTTTGAGTCACCAAAAGGATCTCCCAATGTGTCCCAATGCAAAAGCACCCATGCCAATGCCCAAAATATATTATACCATATTTCACAGCATTTGGTTATACTTGTTTACCACAGGCAGGGTTAGTTTCATACTATGTTCTATATTTATTATGTATATCTTTGGGAGAGAACTTGGCTTTTGGGCAGTGGTTGGTGATAACACCAACTATGTGCCAATGGTACTTTGCACTGCAAGCAGTGCACTTGGGGCCCAAGCAAACTATGCTTGGCATCATCATGGCTGTTGCTTCAACGTGAGTCGCAGGGCGTAGGAACCAAAAAAAAGTTGAAGCCTAAAGGTTTTGACTGTTTTGCATTGATGTCAAACTGTTGGATGTCAAACTTAAACACCTGATGGTTTTTGATTGTTTTGCATTGCTTATTTTTGCGCTGAAAAGAAATATGGTCTAACAACCTTGGCTCCAGGGCATTAGGATCACATTCTACTTTGGCAGCCGGGTCAAAGGCCATCGAGGCTGGATCATGATACCGAGATTCAATGTGGAAGACTACCAAAGTTTGTTATCTGTGAGCGCTAGCGCAAGCAGTTCACCTTTGGCATCAGTGGCACCATCAGCAGCAGCGAAGAACCAACCTTCTGGGGCTTCTGGCCGTAGCTTGCTTTTTGAATCGCAAGGTCAATGTGTGTTTTTTGATTCCTGTAAGATATCTTTTGGTGATATGTTGATTCTGATACGTTCCAAACTCAAAGAGCTGTAAGGCCCAAGTCGTCCCACAGCTTCGCTATTGCAGCGCTGTGAGATTGCAAGTTCCTCTGATGACAAGACATCAGAGGAAAAAGGAGAAATTGACAAGAAGGCACCAGCCAAAAAATCTCGAAAGACAAAGCCTGATGACGATGCACCAGTTCTCAAGAAGCCTGCATTAAAAAAAACAAAGAAGGATGAATATGATGACATGTTCGACGACCTCCAGAACAAAGATGACGATGATCATGACCCTGACGAACATGATGCAGAGGAGGAACAGCCAGAGAAAAAGAAGAAATCAAGGAGAAAGAATGAAGACAAGTCTGCAAAAAAGACAAAGAAGTCCAAGGACAATCAGCTGACAACTCCCAAACTCCCAAACTAATTAAAATAGTCTACATGTTTTTGTTGTTTTGCTGTTGGTGTTTTACTGAGACATGTGTGTGTGTGTGCATATGTATGCATGTGCATGGTGCTGGATTGAAATTGTCAAATCATTTCAACTTTGGAAGGACAAGGGTGAGAAGAAGAATACACGTGGAAGGCCGAAAAAGAACAGCCTTGGAGAGGATATGGAGTCTGTGAGTGACGAAAGTACCTCTGATGACTTGACCAAGAAAGGGTCCACAACCACGCCTTGCCCAAAGGTTGACCTGACCAAGAATGAGGATCCACAGGGCTGCCCTGCGGTGGTTCAAAAGGATGATTCAGCCTTGCCTGGTGAAAAGCCTGTGGAATGCCTGAATTCTACCAAGGATGACCTGACCAAGAATGAGGATCCACAGGGCTGCCCTGCGGTGGTTCAAAAGGATGATTCAGCCTTGCCTGGTGAAAAGCCTGTGGAATGCCTGAATTCTACCAAGGATGACCTGACCAAGAATGAGGATTCACACGGCTGCCCTGCGGTGGTTCAAAAGGATGACTCAGCCTTGCCTGGTGAAAAGCCTGTGGAATGCCTGAATTCTACCAAGGATGACCTGACCAAGAATGAGGATTCACATGGCTGCTCTGTGGTGATTCAAACGGATGATTCAGCCTTGCCTGGTGAAAAGAACCCTACCTCGCCCCATCCTCCAAAGGATGACCTGACCAAGAATGCCTTGGAAAACGATGGCCTTGCTGACCAGTTGAAGCGTAGTTTCAGCTTTATCGATGTGGGAACAAATGACACCAGCAGTGGGGTCTCTTGTTGGATTCATTTCATGTTTTTCTTTTTGGAATTTTGGGATTTGAAGGAGTACACTCCCAAATACCCCAAGCAATTTGGTGACCAAAAGGGTATATACAAAAGATACGTTTTAGGGGACAACCAGTTAGCCCAGGTTGCATCAAAGACTTTGGATGTTGCTGCACTCAAGTTGGATGATGAGCCAGCTTCGCATGGCCAAGGGCTACCGGACAGTGAGCAGGAGGAAGCAAAGAAGGCACATGGAGATGTTTTTTGATTTACTTTTTCATCGTTTTAGTAGGATTCCCTTTGTTTGTCCACTTGGTCCTGATACTCCCTGAATATGACTTGAAATAAATAATTCATTGCAGGACACTTTGGAGAAAATGTCAAAGCTTTTGGATGCCTATGCCCTCACAGACATGGCTGAGTCACAAGGACATGACGAAGTACAAGAAGCTTTGCTTACCCAACAGCAATTCCATGATGGCACTTTGTTTACTGAGGAGGACTTGACACTACACTTCTCCCCAGGAAGAAAGACTCTCATCCTGGGAGAACAATCGAGCCCGGAAATGATCTCTGATTCTGATGCCGAGGACACTATTTTGACAAAAAACATGTTCACTTTTCGTGTTTGTCATCTTGAGAATGTTCCTTTTCTGGTTGTCAGTTGTTTTTCCATCTTGAAAAGGTTCATGATTTCGATGTTCAATCATCCCAGGACAGTCAGAAGGATGAGACACCTCAACCTGATGAGACAAAACCTCGTGATTGCGAAGAACCTCCTATGGAAGCCGCTCAAGAACCTGAAACGAAGCCAGGGAACACTGGAAAAAATGATCCAGCTGACAAGGAGAGATTTTTTACTTGAATGCAACATTTTCTTGGCCAGCCATGTATCATTTTTTGTTCTCAGGAATGAAACCAAATGAAGAATGTCAGAATGACATCCATCCGGGGGATCCTATGTATGTGCAAAAACATGCCATAAAATAGTCCACAACCTTTGGGTGACATCTACTACAAAATATGGAAACATGTCAGTGTATGGTCTCAAGTTCCCAATTCACCAGTTGTTTTGTTATGAGAGTGTATCTACAGATGTGCAACTAGTATTCTGACATTTCATTGGAGTACCATAACATAACATATTTCAAATATTAGTATATGAAACATGTATGTAGCACTTGTTCATAATCACCCAACTTGAAAGAATTGCCAAGTTAATCCTGCAATGCTACAGGGCCAAAAACTTTGAACACCAACGGTTCAGGATGTGTTCAAGACAGCCCAAGTCTGCAAAGTAAAGCCAAAAGACAGTTCCAAATATTTCCTGGGAGACCAAGACTATCCAAACATGTTGGTATGTATAAAGGACAACACCATTTTGTTGCATGTGTTCCTAAAGCCCCACAGAATGTTTATTTTTGCTTCAGGAGAAGGGTGATTCCACCAAAAAGACTCCAAAGGCCACACCAAAGATGACAGCAGCAAAGGCAAAGGGGGCAGCAAAGGCAAAGGTTGCAGCGAAAGCTCAGGCTAAAAAATGTGCTTCCCAAAAAAAGGCAAAGGGGGCAGCAAAGGCAATGCCAAAGGGCAAAGCAATGAAGTCCCCCAAGAAACAGCCAGCGGTGGCAAAGGCAGCGGCAAAGCGCAAAGCGAAGTCCTGTGAGGAGAAGCAGAAGACTGCTACTTTGAAACAAAGTTTATTTGCATTTTTTGCAAGCCCAACCTCAGGCGTATTTTTTTCTGTTTTTAGCATTTGGTAAACTAAGGATGATGGCTACTTACCAGCAACCAGAAGTCGTGTCTACAGCCGTATCTATCGGCAAGTCCATAAGAAGACTGGTGATCGCGAGGCTGCAAGAGCTGCTGGCCGTGCTGAGTGTGATCGCTTGGAACTTTGAAAGAATGGCGTCAAGAGAAACGTCTTAGGCAAGACCCATGGCATAACAAAAAAAACTTGACTCGACCCTGCAGAACCAAAAAAAAACATGACATGGTGCCTCAAGGGGATTGCCCAATCTAAATTTGGAAGCCAGGGGCATGACCCCCTGTTGCACAATTGAGACATCTGGGCTGTTGCAAAAAGACACGGTCCTTGTCATCGAGGGCTGCTGCTCTGCTGCATGGCACCAAGTTGGTAGCTAAAGGTGAACTATAGGTGAACTAATGAAGAAACATTGTTTGGAACCATTTGGAAACTTTGCACAATGATGTAAAATCAATTATCCAATCAAGTGCAGGTAGTTCTTTCAGGGTTCATATTTTTGGATCTAGTGTGTTGCATTTCAGCAGCACACTTGAGCAAAACCATTCAGTGCCCAATTAATGTCCAACCTCATTTCATCTCATTCCCTTCAAGTCCTGGTTGGGTTTTGGTCAAGTCCTGGTTTGCTTGACTTTCTTTTATATATATATATTATATGTATATATGTATATGTATATATATATATGTAACTTGTAGCACCAAAGAAAGGCCAAGATAGATATTCTATGATCTTGGTGGTTTTGCCAGCATTTGTTTTACTGTTCATCGTTGTTGAATGATCCCGAAACAGTCTCTGTGATTAGCATAGACCCAATTTGAGGCATTTCAGCCAATGTTTGCAGGTCAGTCATCTCATTCCAAAATTCAGTGTGAATTGAAGGATATTGAGACTGGTTGACGGATTGAATGATGTGATCAAACTTCCTTTGATTCTAACACTGCGAATATTCCAAAATCGCTGAGATAATCTCAGGCGAACAATCAGCAATAACTGAGAGATTGCCTAGGAGTTGAGAGGGTTCCAAGTCGAAGAAGCGAACGTGGCTGTTTTGGGCCGTGAAATAGACCTTGCCTTTGTTAGGTACCTCCATTTTCCCCATTGCCAGAAGGTACATTTTATATACATAATATATATATATACACATGATATCTACACAGCATATAGTATAATATGATATACTATTTTACTATGCTATAATATAATGTAATATAATACGCTATAATATAATATGAAATACATAAATATTATATGATAAGTATATATATATATATTATGATTTTATATATATATATATAATATATTATACGATTATAT